CAACTTCAGCCTTCGATGTCAAGAAGGACCTCTCACATCAGAGGGAAAGTGCCTGGATTGCGAACAGCTGATTTCCAGGGTCAACAGGCAACAGGTGCAGAATGTAATAACAAAAATTCAAAACAGAATTAGCACAAGATAACAACCTAGTCTATATGATGAATTTAAACCAGGAGCCCAAACCTGTAGATAACAAAACCAAGACCATTATTATGTTAGATGAATCAACATTTTTTATGACAGATTCAATAACTGGAGATTGAATAACCAGAAAATCCCCCACCCCTTTCATACTAGCTTAGAATATAAACAAGGGCATGTTCCTTCCAAGAAAAAGAGAAAAGTGAAATAAAAATCAGTAGTAAGGAATGAGTAGTAGAGGGCTGATTCCGTCAATTTGGCAATTTGTTTCCTTCAGAGGTCACCTGCTTTAATTTTTGACAGCTTTAGTTTCAGGTCATCAGATTGTGTGCAGTTCCAGTCAGGGTTTGGTACCTCCTTTAGGTGTGACACATGTACCCAAGGGTACTCCCTGGACTTCAGCAGCACAGGGGTTAGCTAACTGTACCTGGTAAGGACCCTTAGAGAAAAGCTGGAGGAAATCCTTTTTGAGGTCTCTTTTCCAGTAAAAAAAAAAATCTACAGGTTGTAAAGTGTGGATTTTAAGTTTTTCATTTCCCTGGAGTGCACTATGAAGTGATTGTGCCACCAAAGCATGATTATTTTCAATAGAAGCAATTAAGCCTTTATGTTATTGAAGTGTGTCCCCTTTTACCAACTGTGGACCAAAAGGAGCAGAAGCCAAATGCATGGGGTGTCCTGTAATTACCTTGAAAAGCAAAAGCTTATGAGTCCCAAAAGGGATAGACCTGATATTTAAAAGGACCAACGACAATGCTTTTGGCCAAGATATTTGAAGAGTTTCTGCAAATTGTGCCAATTGAATCTTAGTAATGCCATTATTATGTTCAACTAAACCAAAAGATTGAGGATGGTAAGCACAGTGAAAATCTTGTAGAACTGGCCAAATAACACAGATGTATTGTAGCATCTGACCAGTGAAATGGGTTCCTCGATCACTGTGGAGTTCGAGAGGAGTTCCCCAAGTAGGAATAATCTTCTCTGACAGGACTTTTGCCACTGTAGAGGCATTAGATTGTCTACAGGGGAAAGCTCAGTATAGTGAGAAAACATACATATCATGACTAAAACATACCTGTATCCATGAGGTGGGGAAGTGATATAAAGTCTATTTGCCAAACCTCAAATGGTCTGTTATACAACTTAAAATATCTAGGGCCAGTGTAAACAGGTTTCCCCAGGTCGTCCTTTAAGCAAGTGGGACACCTAAGGTAGGCACTTTGTGCAGCCTTGTTCATTTCTCCCCGCCAATATTGGTTCATGAATGCTAACATTTTGTCAGTGGACTAATGGTTTAATACATGTACAGTAGTCAGGAGTGGAAATTTTAGAGATTCTGGTAATAACTGGGTTGTTATATGGTCCGAACCAGAGCTGCTGCTTCTTATCAAACCAGCAATTGTTGGATTTCCAATATTGTTTTTCTTCTTCTGAAGCAAATTGTGGGGCATCTCTGGCCAGTTTTTCTGTTATCAACTGGGGAAACATCACTTTGGACCATGACAGGGGTTTGACTGCTGCTAATGCCTTTAGAGGCAGCATTCTTAGCAGAAACATCAGCAAGGGGATTTCCTTTAGCTTTCAGGGAATCAAGTTTAGAGTGTCCTGGAATCTTAATAGCTAATCATCAGGTAAAAGTGTAGGATCCAATAATTTCTGAACATATGGACTATTTTTAATTTTATCTCTGTTGGAGGTAAGGAAACCATGTTGCTTCCATAACATTCCAAGGTACTGAACTACTCCAAAGGTATATCTATTGTCAGTATAAATGTTGAGAGTTTTACTCTTTTCTAAAATGCAAGCTCGAGTGAGGGCATGTAATTCAGCCGGCTGTGCTGAAGTAGCCAAAGGCAAAGATGCTGCCTTTATGACTTCAAAAGGGGTTATAGTAGCATAACCAGCACAATATTTACTATTTTCATTTTTTAAGTATGAACCATCTGTGAATCATAAGAAATCAGCTTTACCCAGTTGCCTGCACATAATCACAAGGAATCAGGAGCTGATCTATTAGTGCCAAGCAGTCATGAGGGACTTCATCAGTCTCAGAAGGAAGACTAGCTGGATTAAGGTTATTAGAATGTGAGAGATCTACATGGGAAGTGGTTTAACAAACGGATTTTAAAGGATGTAATGCGATGAACTGAAAGATGCTGGGTATAGGCCGGCCGAGTGGTGCGTTGGTTAAGAGCTGGCTTGGGACGCCAGAGGGCCCCGGTTCGGATCCCACATATGAGGGCCAGTGACACTGCCCTCTACAGCTAAGATGCTGAACAACAGCTCAACCTGGAGCTGGGCTGCCGTGAGTCGCCAGCGATGGCGTAGGCTGCAGCCCCTGCTGCAGTGGGTTGCCATGGGCTACCGTGTGTAGCTGGCAGCCAGCGAGAGCGGCCAGCAGCCAGCGAGAGCGGCCAGCAGCCGCCATGAGCGGAAGTCCAGAAGCTGGCGACTGATCTGCCTCACCCGGGAAGAGCGCAATGATGGTGCCAGCTTGGGCCAGTGAAGCAACGTCCTCCACAACTAGACTGAAGAACAAAAGGACAGCAACGTGTCTGTTCCTCTTCCCCCAATTCCCCAATTAAAAAAAAAAAGATGCTGGGTATGATAAGAATTCGGGAGAGCTTCTGCTGCATGAGGTATAGATGGTTAAGGGGGATTCTGTAACAATTCCCTCTGTGGCCTTAACCAAGGGACAATAGCAGCAACGGCTCTAAGGCAAGAGGGGTATCCCCGAATCACGGGTCCAGTTGCTGACTGTAGTATCGTAGGGGTCTAAGTTGATCCCTATATTTTTGAGTGAGTATCCTAACGCCATTCCCTTACTTTTCATGCACAAAAAGGAAAAAAATAATCCGATTGTTAGGATGCCCAAGAGAAGGTGGGTTTATTAAACGTTCCTTTAAGGCTTTAAAGGCTATGTCATCCTGTTCTTCCCATGAAATTGGGTCAGGACTTTCATTCTTTAGTAAGATATACAGGGGTTTTGCCTCAAGAGAGAGATTTGGGATCCAATTTCAGCAATAGCTGACTAACCCAATAAAACCTTGCAATTGGTACTTGGTTTTGGGCCCTTGGGAAACTTAGGACACCATGAAGCCTATCAGGATCCAGGTGTAGTCCTTCCGATATCAGATGTCCCAAATACCAAACCTGAGTTTGGACAAATTGTAATTTTTCTTTAGAGACCTTATGCCCCTTTAAGACCAAAAGTTCCTCCAACAGATGGATGCTATCTTCCTGGGAGAAAACCTGAGTGAAGTAAAGGCAAAAAGGTTTTGGCTAGCTTCACCAACTGGGATACTAAAGAATGCACTGTGTAAATCACTTACTGTAATGAATTCACTTCCAGTTGGGATAGATGCTAGCAGTGTATGAGGGTTAGGAACTATGGGGTGTCGAGGGATAACAATGTGGTCTATTGCTCAGAGGTCCTGGACAAACCTCCACCCTCATCCCTTCGGCTTTCTCACAGGTAAAAATCAGTGTTACAAGGACTAGTGCAAGAAATAATAAGGCCTTGAGTTATGTCATCTTCTATTTTGGGCTTTATACCTTGAAGGCCCTCTTATAGGATATTGATTAATTCTGGGCAGAGGTTTTGAAGGATCAGTTTGAATCTTTTTTTTTTTTAAGATTTTATTGGGGAATTGGGGGAGGGGAACAGCATTGGGGAATTGGGGAAGGGGAACAGACAAGTTGTTGTCCTTTTGTTCTTCAGTCTAGTTGTGGAGGACGTTGCTTCACTGGCCCATGTTGGTATTATTGTGCTCTTCCCGGGTGAGGCAGATCAGTCACCGGCATCTGGATGGCTGCTCATGGCGGCTCTTGGCAGCTCACACTGGCGGCAGCTCACGCTGCCTGCCGGCCACTCACAGTAGCTTATGGCAGCCCACTGCAGCAGGGGCTGCAGCCTATGCCGTCACCAGCGACTCACGGCAGCCCAGCTCCTGGTCAAGCTGTTGTTCACCATCTTAGCTACAGAGGGCAGTGTCATTGGCCTGCATGTGGGATCCAAACCGGGGCTCTGCTGCTCAGAGCTGACATCCCAAGCCGTCTCTTAACCAACGCGCCACTTGGCCGGCCCCAGTTTGAATCTTAATAGGAAGTAGACTGTGGATTCTGCCAGTATCAGTTGAAGATTTGTCCATAAAGATGGCAGTTGGTCCAACAGGGACAATTGACCAGTGCTTTCAGATTCAGTTATTGTACCACCCAAAACAACAGAAATAAAAGATGCTGAAAAGTCATGTAATTCACCTAATTAGTCATTCTGACAGTTACCATCAATGATCACAATACCAACATGGGCCAGTGAAGCGATGTCCTCCACAACTAGACTGAAGAACCAAAGGACAGCAACTTGTCTGTTCTCCTTCCCTGATTTCCCAACATTGTTCCCTCCCCCAATTCATCAATAAAAATCTTTACAAAAAAAAATTTACTTGAGTGGCCAGCCGAGTGACTCAGTTGGTTAAGAGCACGAGCTCTGAGCAACAGGGTCACTGGTTCAATTCTCACATGGTCCAGTGAGTTGCTCCCAAGCTGAGCTGCCGCCGAGCTGCCAACAGATGGCAGGATGGCTCAGCTGGTGAAAGCATGTGCTCCTAATAACAAGGTTGACAGTTTGACTCCTGCATGGGATGGTGGGCTATGCCCACCTGCAACTAAGATTGAACTTGACACTTTGAGCTGAGTGGCCACAAGCTGCCGATGGTCGGCCAGATGGCGACTGGACTTGGGAGCTGAGCCAGCTCCGCCCTCCACAACTAAGACTAAAGGACAACAACTTGGCTGTTCCCCTTCCCCAATCCCCCAATAAAATTTAAGAAAAAAAAGAATTGCCAAAAAAAATTTTATTTGATGAAAGATTACATGATCCCAGTGTAAAATACGAACAAAAAAATTATATAAAATAAGACACAATATGTAAAACAAATGACAATACCTTATGTAAAATTTAATATCCCCTAATAAAATAGGATACATTGAAATCTATAAAATAGAAGAAAATTTAGAATTAGGCATATCATATGAGCTAGCTGAAGGATAAATACATATGCTCAATAAGCATTTAATATGTAGTAACTACAGTGAAAACAAAAGTGATGTGGTGATCTTGCCATGATTTCATCAAACTAAAATGTTGAAATATTTCTCCACACAGAATTAAAGGCTATTAAAGGTTTGTGGATATCAGTCCTTCATGGACTGGAGGTGAAAGAGGGAGGAATTCAAGGGGGAGGACAGAAATATGTTAACATTTTACACTTTAAGATAAACACATTAGAATTACAACCAGATATTTGTTCTCATTTTCAAATAATGCTTGGCTCTCCTAAGATATTCAAATTACATGAAATGTCTAACATGAAATTTACATTTTGGAAATTTAGTCCTCAAGGAAACCCAGAGTTCACCATTCTGAGTCTGTCTTTCAAGTTCCTTTCTGATGACAATCCCAAGCTCTATCATTTGTTAACATACAACGTCGAAAAAAGGCCCTGATGGTCATCGGCATGACTCTGGGAAGGACAGGGCTCTGCTGTTGCTCCCAGAGCTGCATCTGCTGAATGGGGTCCTGTGCCCTTAGCTGAGACTTAATCCCACCCACTGTGAGCCTCAGCCATCTCCTGTCCAGGGAAGAGGCAGACCCTCCCAGGTTTCCCTCCTAGGAAGAGCTCTGGGTTTCTCCATTCCCAACTGGACTCCAGGGACCCGGCAGGGGGGTTGGGACAAGCCAGCCCTCAGCAGGGAAGACATAGGCCGCCTGGGTGGCCATGGCATAGAAGGTCTGCACCTGGGCACACAGACGCCCCCGGAGCTGGGCCAGCTGCTCCCAGTTCAGAGAGGAAGGAACGTGCTGGTCCTGTACCCGGACTACATTCTGATAAATGGCCTCAGACATAGCACGCAGGGAAGTCACCAGGCTTTTCCGAAGTGGAGGTGGCTGGACTCCTGGAGACCTGGATCTCGGCCGCTTGCTGCGCCCAATGCTCCTCCTCTGGGCTTTTCTGGGGCAGGTATCCCAGGTTTCCTCACTGTCACTGCTGTGGCCAGCATCGGGGACCTTTTGTTTCATCTTTTCCAAAGTCACACTGCCCTCATCTGCTACAGAGGCCCCTGAGGAGAAAGCACGTTGGTGAGAGACCAGCCTGATCAATTTCCAGGGGCCCCCAGCGCGGTATCTCACCCTGGCCCTTGTGGGAATCCCACAGATTTCCTGCTCCTTTCCCGACCCCTCATCTGTACCTGAGGCGGCAAAACACCCATCCTGAGTCCCCAAATGCTCCCTGGATCCCAGAGTCTGCAACCACTTCTGCCACTGAACAACCCCTTTAGTGCCCACGCCCTGGGTGTTCCCTGTTTTTTTCCGTTGGCACAACTCTGGCCCAAAAAGCAACATCTTACCTGCTCTGTCAGAGGGGCTGTCCCTGGAACTGCTTTTTCTCTTGCCAGAGCTCTCCCGATTGGAGCAGCGTTCTGCTTCTGTAGGTAAAGTGAGACTTTCAGTGACTGCCTGCCCCGAACCAGACACCCTGGAAAGCCTAGTCCATCCTGGACACACAAGGAGCCAAGGTTACAACCAAAACCCATTTCCCAGCTGTTCCTAAAGTCCAGAATCTGCAAGGCCCTGGCTGCCAAGAGCAGCACCCAGTTTCCTGCACGGAGAGACTGAGATACCGATATTCTGCCCCTCCTTCCCAGAGAAATAAAACTTTACCTGATCGAGCAAGGCAGCTATTTCTGCCTTTGAGTTCAGTTTTCTTAGAATTCTCTTCCTTGTCTGTCTTGGGCTCTGACCCTAGAGAAAAGGAAGTTAAGGTGACTGACCTCCCTCGAGGCATACAGAAGAACCCCCTAGTCCATCCCTGACCCATATTTGTGGGCAATATCCTCGACTGAGGCTGTTCACCCAGTGTCAAGTGTGACCAGAGCAACATTGTTTCAGGGGATCATTGTCACATTTGGAGAACATTTGGAGAAACCCCTGGAAGGCTAGGTGATGTTCCCCATCACTTATCTCAAAATAAAACCAACTGAAGACACTCAGTTTCCCGGATCCTACCCCTGCTTCTGAACTCCACACAAGCAGCCCAAGTCCTTACCTCGCCTTTGGATGTTGTTCTCTCGTAACTGGGAAGAGGAGTTCTTGCCATCCTGGAATGGTTTTTCCTCCACATCTGAGCCCCTTTCTTCAAAGGAGTTCTTTTGGAGAGGGGGCTGTTCAGTGGGGCTTTGGATGGAGGGACTGTGGGGGTCTTGGTTTTTCATTCCTGATGATTCCATCATGAAGCCCAAAGGAAAGACCCTCCTTCTGACAAGTCCAGAGTCAGATATGCAGGCTGGCCTGATGAGCCTGCTTTTTATGAGCCCCTCACAGGGTGTGGCTCACTCCTATTGGCTGAGAAATATTCACCTTCCTGCCACTCATCAGAGCCTCAGGTGGGCTGAAATTAGGAATGCAGCTGGTTTTGGTTTGTCAACAAGAGATCACTGCCACCAGTCTAATGCCAATAGGAGTCCACAATATGGGGTGTGGTAAAAAGAGAAACTTTATTCAGGTAAATAGTTTGGATACCTGGAAACGCAGCCTCTGGTAGAAACCCAAAGTGTACTCTGCTGAGAAAAACGGGAGGCGAATTTTCACAAATTATCCCCCTGCTCTTTGATTGGTCTACTTTCATGCAAATGAAATATCCAAATTTGCATAGTCTAATCCAAATAGCACTGATTGGTTGGAAATAGGCATTCTGTTTGGTGATTGTGGAGCTGCTCTGATTGGTCAGTAAAGATGCAAATGATGGTATAGTTGGGCGGTTTTGATTGGATAGCTCAGGTCTCAGCCAACTGGTTGAACTACATTACCAGGAACTTTTTTTATAAGAGTTGACTCAGATGGCAGGAGCATAGTGCAGGGGGCTGGGAGCTCAGTCTGTGGCTTTTCCCTAAAATGCAGAGAATGTGAGATGCCTCTCTCAGCAATGGCTGTCACACCCTGGTTATGAATTTGTGCCCAGTTAACCATGAGGAGTCCTTGGAAGATATATTTCTTCTAGAGGTCCACAGGTTGGACTGGAGATCCCACATAGATGAGAGAAAACTTTGCAGAGTCCTATCATAGAATCAAAAAGCAGGATGGCAAAGCTGAGAGGCAGACAGACCGGAAGTCAGGGAGCTGCTCCCCGTCTTACTTCCAGCCCTAAACCCACCCAGAATTATTTAAGAACTTGCCCAGATTTTTGCTGCTTCTTCCACCATGAAATGAAAAGTGAGGGCTGTACATGGGTTATAGAGGCTCATCAGAGGGATTTCTGCCATATCAATGAAATGTATCTATTTTTCACTATTCTCTCTGATAATTTCATCCTATATGCGAGTAGGTCGCAGGAAAATGAGACTTAAAAAAATAAGTGCTGGGGGCCGGCCAAGTGGCGCATTGGTTAAGATTTGGCTTGGGACACCAGTTCTAAGCAGCAGGGCCCTGGTTCGGATCCCACATGAGGGCCAGTGTCACTGTGCCCTCTACAGCTAAGAAGGTGAACAACAGCTCGACCTGGAGCTGGGCTGCTGTGAGTCTCTGGCGATGGTGTAGGCTGCAGTGGGGCTGGCCGGCAGCTGGTGTGCGCTTTTGTGAGCTTTTACGAGCTGCCATGAGCCGCCGTGAGCGGCGGCCCAATGGCTGGCAAACAACTGCCTCACCCGGAAAGAGCAATGATCACAATACCAACATGGGCCAGTGAAGCGACACTTTCCACAACTAGACTGAAGAACAAAAAGGACAGCAACTTGTCTGTTCCCCTTCCTCGATCCCCCAACACTGTTCCCCTCCCCCGATTCCCCAATAAAATCTTTTAAAATAAATAAATAAATAAGTGCTGGGACAGCCGGATGGCTCAGTTGGTTAGAGCGCATGCTCTTAACAAGAAGGTTGCCAGTTCAACTCCCAGATGGGATGATGGGCTGGGTCCTCCCTCCCACTCCCCCACCCCGACCCCGAACTAGAGTGAAAACAGCTCCTGGACTTGGACCTGAGCTGCGCCCTCCACAACTAAGACTGAAGGGCAACAACTTGACTTGGAGCTGATGGGTCCTGGGAAAAACACACTGTTCCCCAATAAAGTTAAAAATAAATACATAAGTGCTTACCAGAACCATCATTCAAGTGGTTCATGCTTCTCCTGTACTCTCTTCTGTATCTTTTTTTTTTTTTTAAGATTTTTATTGGGGAATTGGGGGGAGGGGAACAGTGCTGGGGAATTGGGGGAAGGGGAACAGACAAGTTG